CCATAAAGTGTGCAAAGTTTAGTCTATTTTTTTTCTCTATAAACACAATATTTCCAACAATTTTGAAGTTTTGGGAAAAATCAACAAATTCGCCGGTCGTATTATTACATAAAAGGATTCCAATATGATAATGTTCAAACCGAAAACCGAACCGAAATTAGAATAACCAAACTGAACCGAACTTATTTCAGTTCGGTTTCGGTTACTACTTTTACAAAACCGAAAACCGAATAACCGAACCGAATTTCTTCAAACCGAACCGAACCGACCGAATGCCCACCCCTAGTTCTTAGGGTGGGGATTCAAGGTTGTAACAGGGAGTTAGTGCAAAATTCTCGCAAAGTGAAAAAAATTAACTCTCTGAAGATCCTCACTAATGCAGCGCATGGCGCGCTGCGCCAGTGTATTTTCACGGTCCAATTGTCCCACTTCGGCTTGGAAAGGGTAGTTTCGTCCGTGTCCGTTCCTACATGGTATAAATACATCAAAAACACATTTTTTTAGTAGACTTTGAACCTTGGAAATTTTTGGAGAGCATTAGAGGCTATAAGACTTACGATTTCATGATTTTTCCATCAATTCAATACGGAATTATCTTTGCATTGTTTTGTTTGGTTTAATTCAGTGATTTTTTTTAAGTAATTGAAAGAGCTTGTTGAATTGTTGAATAAATCAAGTTAGAAGAATATTCGAGAGACATTTTCCTAAAGACTAATCTATTAAGGCATGCTTGCATATTTTCACAGTACTTATATTAGTTCACCTTGTAGAGTTAAGATTTAATCTAGAGAGGAGTCTTGACTACACGTTTGAACAAATCATCAAGTGAATTCGTGAGAATCATTAGAACACTAGAATGAATAAATATTTTCTTGTATACTTGTCACTTTTTGCGGACTCTCTACATATTTCATTGAATATTTGTTTATTTCCACGACATAAGTATCGGATAACTCTACTTAAAATTATTTTGTTGAGTATTTGAGTAATTGCTACCTACTGCGAGCATATATATTAAATAACTCCTCCTAATAAGGTTTAGGCATATAAAAAAAATCTCCTACTCCTATATTTCATATCAATTAGATTTTGAACTCTTATTTTTTAAAATTTATATCACTTAATTAACTTTTAGGGGCGATACCCATGTTTTTTAATAAGTGAATTTCGAGAAAACATGCAGAATGGTATTATTTTGATGACAATTTCAATATCGTACTACTACATCAAGCTAGTACGGAGTAATAAATAAATTAAAAAACAGCTAAACAAAAGACTTCCATGTTGTAATTTACTAATTTATAATAATCAGCAAAATCCAGGAACAACCTGAACCTCCATTCTTCCTTTTTTCACTATTCTTCCCCCTGTGCCCCCCCCC